GCTGGGGCGCCCTCCCCGCGCCCCTGGGCCCCAGCGCTGGGCCCAGCGTCCCCTCCCTCTGTTCCCCAGCCACGCCCCCCGGGACCGTGGCCCCACTCACCCCAGAGTCCCCGGACTCTTGGTTCCGCGCTCCCTTAGGCCCCCTCGAACCGGGCACCCCCATCCCGTCCCTACCGCACGCGGTGCCCCCGGGCCTCGCCCCGCGCCCTGCTCGGCCTTAGCCCCTCGCCCTGCTCTTCCCGGAGACGCCGGAACCGCCCTCTTTGTGCCTCTTTATTCTCCTTTCCCAGCGCCTGGGTTTGGTAGCGTTCTGTGGCCGCCCTGTTTTTCTGAAATAGAATGGACTAGTGGTGCTTTTAAAGAAAGGGCGCACAGATCCTTGCGAGCGGGGCGGGTCAGCCCAGGGTTTGCGGGAGGGGGGGACGGGGTGCCGGCGGGAGGGACGGGGGACGACCCCGGCTGTCCCTGCTTTGCAGGACGCCGCGCCGCGTCACACCTTGCACGGTGCAGCCCCGGGCGGGCGCTGACCGCGGGGAGTGTGCCAGCGACTGTGAGCGTCGCCGCCAGGCCAGGGTCGCACGTGGGAACCACAGCCCGGGCTCTGCATTGGGGTCCACCTCGGTCTGGATTCTGGCCCGCCTCTACTTAGGCGTGAGGCCCTGGGATGTTACTTTACCAACTAATCCTCAGTGTTCCCATCTGTAAAGGGGGAGGGAGGTGACTGTAGCTCTGTAAGTTAGAAGAGGTAATAAAGTGAGAACATAGGAATGAAACACTCGGAGGCTTTCGCATAGTTAGCTCTCTGCAGATTATCTGCTAACATCAAACACGGAATAACAGTGTAGCCAATAGCTAACGTTTATGGGACACTTACAGAGAGGTTACTGTTCTAAGTGCTTTGTATGCATTACCTCATTTAATTCTCTTCATACTCTTAGGCAGAAACTGTTACCCCATTTTCACAGATGACTAAGGAAAGTGTGGTGGCGAGGTGGCTTTCCCCGGGACCCACAGCTCTTAAGTGGGGGCTGGATTCGCACTGTTCAGTCTGCTTTTAATCATTGCATGGATATTCTAGGGGCACAGAGTTCAATAAATGGATGCCACTTTCTTTTAGAGGTTTTTTTTTTTAATTGAGATAAAATTTGCATAACAAAATTTTCCACTTTAGCCATTTTAAATTATGCAGCTAATGGTTTTTAGTGTAGTCACAGTGCTGTACAAGCATCACCACTAATTAATTCCAGAACATTTCCATCGTTCCTGTCCCCCAGGAAACCCAGCTCCATTAACAGTCCCTCACCTCCCTCACCCCTCCCGCTAGCATCCCTCCCTAATCCGCTATCTCTGTGGGTTTGCCTGTGGTGGCCATTTTATACAGGTGGGATCATAGGGTGTGTGGCCTTCTGCATCTAGCTTCTGTCCCCTAGCATCATATTTTCGAAGCCCATCCATGTTGTAGAAGGTATCAGTACTCCATTCCTTTTTAGGGCTGAATACTATATTAGTGGTTTTACCTTGGTGAATAAGGCTGCTCTGACCGTGGCTGTACAAGTTTTGCCGTGAGTAGCAGTTTTCAGTTATCTTGGGTGTATGGCCAGGAATGGGATGCTGTTACTCCACAGAGAGAGACATGAAACTCAGGTATTGGGTCTTGGATGAGAATCCTGGTTTCTAATTGCCATGTTGCTTGTTCTTTCCACTCAAATCTCAGTGTTAGTGTAATTGAATATCAAAACTGGCAAGGGAAGGGAAGGAATTTAAAAAATCATGATATACCAATAATAACCTTGTCGAAATGCTGATTTAAACTTTGAGATACTTCTTAAGTTTTTTTCTCCTCAAGAGTGAAATTTGAGCCTTGAACACAAGGCAGTATTTGGTTCTGTTTATTAAATACTGTACAGAGCAGTGTGCTGGGTGTTACGGAGTA